TATAAGGAAAATTTGCTCTTTGACGTAACTGTCCATTTCTTAGTACCTACGTCTTATTGGTTATTAAATTATTCTGTAATCTGTGAAAATACTTTGTTTCACTCATACATTTTCGTATAACATTTTATGAAGGTTAAAATTTAATTTATCTATTTTTCATCTAGATAAAATTGTATTTATCTTTATCTTTTAGCTAAATAAATGTTAAATGAATAATTTAATATCTTATCTAGATGATATATTACTCAATTATCCGTTATCTTATCTAGATAACTTTATAGTTATCTTTTCCCAACACTGACTACCCTCCTACGCAGAAAAATAAAATAGCTGGTGTAACCTAAACTATATATAATGTAGTGACATGATTAATTTATTTTGGCCTAACTAAGTGTTTTGTAGAAACAACTTTTTCTTTAGTTTTTGGAACTAGAAATTTATTAGGCAACTTTAATAAGCGTATTTTAATTTAGACCAAGCTTCTAAACACTCAGTCCAACTAGATATGTATTTTGCCCTTAGTTTAATAGTTTAATAGTTTAAGTTAGACTAACTTTGTATCTTTCAGAGCGTAACCTAATCACCTTAATTTATTGGATAAATAATATAATTAACAGTTTAATCTTCTGTGTTCGAAAAAAATCAAGAATATTAAAAATATTGGAAAATAATTTCATACAACGATAACCAAAATTGTTTATTGCTAACAAAATGTTTTATCAGCCTTAGGTGTTTTTTATTTAGACTGCTGTTGTTTTCCAAATAAAATTGCTGTTGTGCGTCATACCTTAATTGCTCAGTTTCCATATAGTTTGAATAACATTTGTTAAATAATGTATATTATATTTATTTGAATGTTCTTTTGACATAAATATCCATATTTAAATTGTAAATGCTTAAAAAAAAACTAACAATTGGAATTAATTTAGTAAAAAAAAATGGGTCCTAAATTTAATGAAACATATGTATTCACCATAAAACATATATTTGACATATCTTTACTATTTGTTTGTATACCACCCTCCTATGCAAAATAATTAAATAGCTAATGCAAATCTAAAATATATTTAATGTAGAGACACTATTAATTTCTAGTTAGCATAATTAAATGATTTGTTAGAACCACTTTTATGTAACTTTTTAACTAGAAATATATTGAACCCCTACCATAAGCGTATTTAAATTTAGACCAAATTTGAATATAATTGGAATAACATTTGATAAAAAATATATTTTATATTTATTTAAATATTTTTTTGACATAAATATCCGAATTAAGTAATTATAATTGTTGAAAAAAATTTAAAAATTATAGTTAATATCGAAAAACAAGTGTTCTATATTTAATGAATCATCTGTATTCACCATAAAACAATAATATGATATATCTTTACTATTAATTTGTATACCACCCTCCTGCGCAAAATAAATTATTAGCTGGTGCAAATATAAAGTATAATTTAATGTAGAAACACGATCAATTTCTAGTTGGCATAACTAAATGATTTTTAGAATCGATTGTATTTAGTTTTTTGAACTAGAAATATATTGTGCCCTTTTAGTCATCATAGTTGTAGTTTGACCAACTTTTTTCATAGGGTATTTTAATTATCTTAGTTTATAGTTGAATAATATATAATATATAAGCGTATTTTAATTTAGACCAAATTTTTTAAACACTTAGTCCAACTAAAATGTATTGTGCCGTTATATTAACCATAGTTAAAGTGGGACCAATTTTGTATTTTTCAGAGGGTAACTTAATCCCTAACATTTCGTTTCATTCTGTTTGAAAAATATCAGGAATATTTGAAATATTGGATAATATTTTTATGCAACGATAACCAAAGTTGTTTACAGCTAACGAATTGTTTAATCAGCCTTGGGTGTTTTTCAGATACACTGCTGTTGTTTTCCAAAAAACATCGCTATTTGCGTCATACTTTAATAACTCGGTTTCCATAAAGTTTGAATAACATGTATTAAATAATGTATATTTTATTTATTTGATTGCTCCTTTAACACACTAAAATCCAACTTAAGTAATTGAAAATGCTTAAAAAAAAGAAAAATTAAAATTAGATTTATTATAAAAAAACTGAGTCCTATATTTTATGAATCATCTGTATTTGCCATAATACATACATTTGACATATCTTTACTATTAATTTGTATACCACCCTCCTGTGCAGAATATATCATTAGCTGGTGCAAATATAAAATATAGTTAATGTAGAAATACGATTAATTTCTAGTTGGCTAAACTAAATGATTTGTTAGAACCACTTTTACTTAGTTTTTTGAACCAGAAATATATTGAACCCCTACCATAAGCGTATTTAAATTAAGACCAAATTTTTAATGATTAGCCCAACTAGAAATGTATTGTGCCGTTATATTAACCATAGTTTTAATTTGACCAACATTATATTTTTCAGAAGGAAACTTAATCCCCTAATTTTCAAATAAAATAATATAATTAACATTTTGATTCATTGTGTTCGAAATATATCAGGAATATTAAAAATATTGGACAATATTTTTATGCTACGATAACCAAAGTTCTTTACAGCTAACGCAATGTTTAATCAGCTTTGCGTGTTTTTATATAAACTGCTGTTGTTTTCCAAATAAAATTGCTGTTTGCGTCATACTTTAATAATCTAGTTCCTATATAGTTTGAATAACATTTGATAAATAATGTAGGTATATTTTATTATTTTGCATGTTTTTTTGACATAAATATTTAAATTTAGCAATTGTAAATTCTGAAAAAAAAAAACTAAAAACTAGAATACTTATAGAAAAAATAGTGTCCTATATTTAATTAATCAACTGTATTCACCATAAAACAATAATATGATATGATTTATCTTTACTATTTATGTTTATACCACCCTCCTATGCAAAATAATTTAATAGCTGGTGCAAATCTAAAATATATTTAATGTAGGGACACTATTAATTTCTAGTTAGCATAACTAAATGGTTTGTAAGAACCACATGTACTTAACTTTTTAACTAGAAATATATTGAGCCCCTATAATAAGCGTATTTTAATTTAGACCAAACTTTTAAACACTCAGTCCAACTAAAATGTATTGTGCCGTTATATTAACCATAGTTAGAGAGGGACCAATTTTGTATTTTTCAGAGGGTAACTTAATCCCTAACATTTCGATTCATTGTGTCCGAAATAATTCAGGAATATTTGAAATAATGGACAATATTTTCATGCTACGATAACCAAAATTGTTTACTGCTAACGAAATGTTTTAAAAGCCTTAGGTGTTTTTTAGATAAACTGCTGTTGTTTTCCAAATAACATTGCCGTTGTCGTCATTCTGAAATAACCTAGTTCCTATATAGTTTGAATATAATTGGAATAAAATTTGATAAATAATATATATTATATTTATTTAAATATTTTTTTGACATAAATATCCGAATTAAGTAATTATAAATTTTGAAAAAATTAAAAAATTTTAGTTAATATCGAAAAAAAAGTGTTCTATATTTAATGAATCATCTGTATTCACCATAAAACAATAATATGATATATCTTTACTATTTATTTGTATACCACCCTCCTGCGCAGAATAAATTATTAGCTGGTGCATATATAAAGTATAATTTAAATAGAAACACGATCAATTTCTAGTTGGCTTAACTAAATGACTTTTAGAATCGATTGTATTTAGTATTTTGAACTAGAAATATATTGTGCCCTTTTAGTCACCTTAGTTGTAGTTTGACCAACTTTTTTCATAGGGTATTTTAATTATCTTAGTTTATAGGTTAAATAATATATAATATATTATGCGTATTTTAATTTAGACCAAATTTTTTAAACACTTAGTCCAACTAAAATGTATTGTGCCGTTATATTAACCATAGTTAAAGTGGGACCAATTTTGTATTTTTCAGAGGGTAACTTAATCCCTAACATTTCGTTTCATTGTGTTTGAAAAATATCAGGAATATTTGAAATGATGGACAATACTTTCATGCTACGATAACCAAATTAGTTTACGGCTAACGAATTGTTTAATCAGCTTTGGGTGTTTTTAGATAAACTGTGGTTTTCTTCCAAATAACATTGCCATTTGCGTCATACGTTAATAGCTCAGTTTCCATATAGTTTGAATAATATATGTTAAATAATGTATGTTATATTTATTTGATATAAATATCCGAATTAAGTAATTGTAAATGTTAAAAAAAGGCAATATAAAAATCAGAATTAAAATAGAAAAAAATAGTGTTCTTTATTTAATGAATCATCTGTATTCACCATAAAACAATAACATGATATATCTTTATTATTTATTTGTATACCACCCTCCTGTGCAGAATACATTATTTGCTGGTGCAAATGAAAAATACATTTAATGTAGAAACACGATTAATTTCTAGTTGGCTTAACTAAATGATTTGTTAAAACCACTTTTTACTTAGTTTTTTTTAACTAGAAATATATTGAGCCCCCATAATTAGCGTATTTTTATTGAGACCAAATTTTTAATAACTCAATCCAACTAGAAATGTAATGTGCCGTTATATTAACTATAGTTTTAATTTGACCAACTTTGTATTTTTAGATGGTAACTTAATCTCTTTTATATTTAAGTTCAATAATATATTTATCATTACGATTCATTGTGTTCGAAATAATTCAGGAATATTTGAAATGATGGACAATACTTTCATGCTACGATAACCAAAATTGTTTACTGCTAACGAAATGTTTTATCAGCCTTGTTTTTTAGATAAGCTGCTGTTGTTTTCCAAATAAAATTGCTGTTTGCGTCATACTTTAATAGCTCAGTTTCCATATAGTTTGAATAATATTTGTTAAATAATGTATATTATATTTATTTGAATATTTTTTTGACATAAATATCCAAATTTAATTGTAAATGTTTAAAAAAAACTAACAATTAGAATTCTTTTAGTAAAAAAAATGGGTCCTAAATTTAATGAATCATATTGTTGAGGCTATAACAGGTAATGGAGCGCAATTCTATGCCGGTTATCGCCAATGATACAGATGCCCTCTTATCTTGGTTGTCGCGGCCGTCCACACCACTCCGCCCTACTCCGCACGATCTATACTGGCAATACTACCGGTCAGCTGTTCACACACACACACACACACACACATATACGCACCGGGTTATACTATGTAAACAAATGTGCCACGCCCGTATTATCAGTGTTAGTAGTGCACTTGTTGCATTCTTGTGATTTTAAAGTATAATATTAATCTAGACTTTTTTGTGTGTTTTTCTTCAGTGTTTTTTAGTTTTAAGTGTTATTATAGTATTTTTAAGCCATAAGGGCACTGTGATTTTTTATTATTGAGTTGTCATAAGGACAAAAAATTGTTTATTATTGTATTTTTAAGCCATAAGGGCATTATTGAGTTGTCATAAGGACAAAAAACTATTTTAATATTTTTGTTTTGTTGTTCACTTTACTTTGTGTCTAGTATTATTTAGGTTTAGGTAGCAGCCCTGGCCAGCGGTTTGCAGTTCTTCGGTTTGTGAGTACTTTTTATTTATACCATATTTTATTGAGTTTGTTTTATTTGTATTTTAGTTAACTACTGTGAATTATTAGAACACATTTTGATCTCATTTACTAAATACGAGTTAGGGCGATAGACATAAGGTTAATCGTACCATCTATATTGCTAGTTAGCCATAAGGGTTCAATCTAGTCAATAATCAATATTTGTATTTGTGAATAATTTTTGTTGTTCTAATAACCACCTTAGTTATCAAAATACTTTTAACGTCATAAGCTTTAAGCACTCACTTAACTTTACCTTTTAATCTAGTCATTACTATATTAATTATTTATTTGTGTTTGTGAATTATTATTCACAGACCAGATTAATTTATTATTGTGCCAAAAGGGCAATTAATTTCTTTTTAGTTTACCAATCTTTTTTTTATACTAATTATTTATTTGTGTTTGTGAATTTTATTCACAATTGTATCTTGAGCCAAAAGGGCTAATTATTTATTTATTACCATTTGTTATAGCATTTTATTGAATATTATTATTATTGTTATTATCATCGAGTTTGAGTTTTATTTATTTAGTTTTTAGTTATAGTTTTAAGTTTCCTACACATCCACACTATACACACTAAACACACTTTTGCACCACATAGCTCACTGGTCTTGCGTAGGCGATCCCTCACACTTCCAGTGAGACTATTTACCCCACTACCCACACATCACTGATCGGTAAGTGTAAAGTAGTTGGTAACCGGTAAGTGGCCTATTATTGTCCGCCCCCGGCCGTTCACATATGTATTCACAATGAAACATATATTTGATATATCTTTACTATTTGTTTGTATACCACACTCCTATGCAAAATAATTTAATAGCTAATGTAAATCTAAAATATATTTAATGTAGAGACACTATTAATTTCTAGTTGGCATAATTAAATGATTTGTTAGAACCACATGTACTTAACTTTTTAACTAGAAATATATTGAGCCCCTATAATAAGCGTATTTTAATTTAGACCACATTTTTAAACACTCAGTCCAACTAAAATGTATTGTGCCGTTATATTACCCAAAGTTTTATTTGGACCAACTTTGAAATTGTTAGAAGGTAATTTAATTACCTTAGTTTATAGGTTAAATAATTCAGTTCAACTTTTTGCGTTATTGTGTTAGAAAAATATCAGGAATATTTGAAATATTGTACAATATTTTTATGCAACGATAACCAAAGTTGTTTACAGCTAACGAATTGTTTAATCAGCTTTGGGTGTTTTTAGATCAACTGTGGTTTTTTTCCAAATAACATTGCCATTTGCGTCATACGTTAATAGCTCAGTTTCCATATAGTTTGAATAATATTTGTTAAATAATGTATATTATATTTATTTGAATATTTTTTTGACATAAATATCCAAATTTAATTGTTTAAAAAAAACTAACAATTAGAATTCTTTTAGTAAAAAAAAATGGACCCTAAATTTAATGAATTATCTGTATTTACCATTATTTTTTTTAATGTTTTAAACTAGATATATATTGAGCCTCTATAATAGGCGTATTTTAATTAAGAACTAATATTTAATACTCAGTCCAACTAAAAATGAATTGTGCTCTTAGGAAAACCATAGTTCTAGTAGGTTTTGAGTATTTCATGATAGGTATAATTACAGACCATTTTCTTTAGTCCTGTTTTTCTCCAGTTACGCTTAGCCAATGTTTTTTTTATTGTATAATTACATTTATGTAATATTATATACAATTATATTATTTTGTAGTCAAAAATATTTAAACTTTCAGTCATGATCATAAAACAAAATATATTAAATTAAAAAAATAAAAATAAGTGGAAATCTACAAAACATTTTTTTTAGATATAGCTTAGGGGGATCTCGAACAATTTTACTCTCTCACATATTATAACAACCTAGAAATTAACTACAGCTTTCGAAGTGCAATTTCTCCTTTTTTTTTGGGAGGAGGGAATTTTCTTTAACAATAAAAAAATAAATCATAAAAATCCAATATCTAATCAGCTCTGCGCCTTCTACTGCAATCGTATCTACCGCTATACTTATAAAAACTAATACGGCGGGGTCGGAGCATAGCGGGGTCAAGGTATAGTGGGGATGAGGATGTCAAAGGTTTACATGAATTTTTAAATCTGAAAGTGATATAATCAATTTCGAATAAACGCTTCTATGCAAATCAGTAGTTAGTATTTTCAACTAGTATATGTCATTAAAAATATTATTATTTTGTAGTTCGCCTTGAGTCTAAAACTCAAATAATTTCATCCCTTGCGGCGGGGAGGGGGTCGGGTTGCAGGACTATCGAAATTTGATTTGAGGCTATTTATGAATAGAGGCATGCCTAATAAATGTTCTAAAAAAATTGCGCTTTGATAAGACCGTTTTTCGCTAAGCTCTAGTGAGTTAAAGTCGAAAAACCGCCAAAGTACCAATCGCAAACTATTTCGGATGTATAGAGATGATACTCGAGTAAACCGTTCCAAAGGAAAAAATATGTGACCGCTCTTTTAAGGTATTAGGTTTATTTTTCAAAGTTTTTCTCAAATAAAAGGTAACCGTCAAATGAGCCAACTTGGGGCATTATGGGTAATTTGGGCCATGTGTGTAAAAAAATATACATTAAAATATAATATATTTGACCCATGCCCCAAATTACCCATTATGCCCTATGTTGGCCCGTTTGACGGTAACAAAAGATTTTTAAGATTATTGTTTGTTTCTGTTAATATATGCATTTATTTTGCACATGAGTAAACAGTTTTAAACTGTAATAAGCATGTAAAAAAATAACGGTAAGGGGGTACGTGTACTAAGTATGCCATACAACGCAAATAAAAATATTCAAAAGTATCTGTTGCTTAAAACAAATTGCACGGATCAACACCTACAGACATGGTACTGTTTGCATTCTTCAAGTAAATATTCTCATATTAAGTACTGTGGTTGTTCGGAAAACCACTATTTGAATCACAGTCATCAAGCAAGAATACAATATTCCCATAACATTATAAAATCGTCATATTCCGTATCCAAGTTTATCGTTTGAACACTTAAAATGTATTCGAAAATTATGATGCTATTTATTTGCATTGCATGGTACGTTTTGCAATGTCAATGTGCTGGTCAAGGCCCTAGTGAAAGTCAACTTGTAAGAATAACGAGTACTTATTATTTATTTTTAATACAAAATGCTGAGATAGTTGCTTAAAAATGTATAAAATGTAATGTATTGATTAGAAAAGTCACTTAATGTTTTAACCACCTCCATTGCTGCACCGAAGAGTTTTTTAAGTAATATTTTCTCTTATAACCAATTATTGATAACAATAACAAAAAAAAACAATTTATGTTATAACGCTAAACAAATTCGCAAGCCATATAATATTATTGATAGTTAAGCATTTTTATTTAATTAAAGAAGGATTAGTTTAATTTGCAAATTGTAATGTACAATTAAATGACTAATTCTTATTCTTATAACAATAGGCTGTGATAGTAAGAAAAGTCGATGAAATTTATCACGAACCGAATGGCATTTACTACGATGACTTTTTTGAAGCTTTGCACTCAATAAAAGTGGTTACGAGAGCAACAGGAAATATCCCCAGCCTCGATGAATTTCTAAAGACATTGGAAGGTAAAAAATAATAGGACAATATTCAACAAATGTGTTAGCTAGAAAATATTAAATTGAGGTGCATTATTTATAAACAAGCATCAAAGCGTTAATTTGAAAGTGATTTTATGACTTTTATTAATAATAGTTCCTGTAGACTCGTGACCTCTCCATCCTCTCTATGCTTTGATTCCATTATAACTCGACCCACTGTACTAGTCCTTTTAGATTAAATCGGTTTCAAATAAACGCTTTTGTAACTGACCTACTTGTCTAGCTGGCTAGACTAGGCAAAGTGGCCGTCGATAAGGCTAAAATAGACGGATCCCCACGGGAAAACGGTTGGCTAGGCCGTTGTCTACGTCTAATTGGCCTTAAAGTCTCCCTTATTAACTTAATATATCACCCGAGGAGCTAGAACGGGCGGCCACACTGTTAAATAATCTAACTCTCAGCTGCAGGCTACAAGATGTTTTATTCTAAATTAGGGTTTCTAAATAAAATACAAAATTATACAATATATATATATATATATATATATATATATATATACACTCTGACCTGGGTTGGACGATGAAATGGTTGGTCAAAGCGGAGTTGAAACGGACGCACACAAAAGATAGTCGGATGGGTGGCTTGTAGTAAAACGGCAAAAATTTAGAGCGCAAGGTCGAGGATATTGGCGGTCCGTGATGGTAAAGTCAACTGGTTAATTAGTGATGTGTCAATAGGTTCGGGGCGCGAAGTAACGGTCGGGTGAAATGTGACCGTTACACTTTGATGCTAATTTGTAAACACTGCACCTCAATTTAATTCTTTTTTACTTTGCTCAGTTTGGACTTTACTGGTTTGAAAATACTGATCACTGATTTGCATCAAAGCGTTTATTCGAAAGTGATGTTATTACATATTCAGCTGTAATAATGCCTGTAAACTTGTTTCCCCCCCGTCCCCATTTAAGCCCCTACCCCACTGTACTATTGTTAAATTTAGTTGGAATGGTCGGTGATTTATGTTTCAACCGTTTGTACTCCATAATTTAAATTATAATCGCTTATACTCAATAAAAATAATATTTTTGTATTATATACTTCTTCCATTAGAACAATCTCACACTAACTTTTTATACTTTATAAATTATATTTTTCATAGCTCTATTATTATTATATTTTACTAGATTGACAATAAACATAACAAAACGCATCTAAAAAACCTTTACATAGATGCTTAATTTGTATAATTATTTCTTATAATTTTCTAAAGAATAATTGAGTCTCCAGCATTGAAATTAAAAGTAAATCTTATACTATATTGGAGAAAACAATAAAATATTATACTTACATATATTACTTATTAGTAAAAAAGAATTAAAGCCAGAAGCAGTGTTTATAACTTAGCATCAAAGCGTTTATTTTAAAGTGTATTTATCGTAGAGGAGTAGTACAATCTATAAAACTCATATGGTAGCAACTAGTACTCCCAGTACCAACTAGATAAAATTTGTGATTTACAGAATTGCTGTAATAACTAAAAATAAAAATATTGTAACACAATATTATAATTAATCTGATTTTTTATGAATATATTTAAAATTTTGTTCTTTCAGATCGTGAATACACGTTAACAGATTGTTTAAACATCGTTAGATTTATTGTAGGTGACGATACTCAGCAGGTAAATAAAAAACTAAAATTACTATATTACAGTTTAAGGTTTTTGAGGTTATTTGCAAAATGTGAATTATTGTTTTAGAAAATGAATCTTATGTTTATAATGTGTACATTAAAATGTTTTAGTTGTAAATTTTAATATACATTTTAATGCCTATTTTTGTTCTGATAAAAAATAGGCTTATGCAGAAGCATTATTTAAAAGAAATGGAAATACGAGTACTATAAACTTTGTTCAATTAAGTGTTGTCACTTATGGTATAAGATTTCAACGCAATATGGATATATCCATTCATAAAGAAGACCAATTGAAAGCGGCTCTTTTAAGTAATATACAATAAAAATTTTTTAATAAATATGTTGAGAAAAATGTTCAAAAACTATTGAAAAGGCATTTTAATAATAAAGTCTATCATTAATTGCACAACTATAAATTATATAATTTTTTATAAAAATTAAATTTATTATGTAATTTTACATTATTTTTCTTCAATTACGAAAATATCAGATAATAATCTTTTGCAAGTGGAAAACATATTTTTTCTTTAATATATTTGCTGTTGAATTGGTCTGCTTCGTTTGATTAAAAAATGTATAATACTTTGTGCTTTTAGAATACACTTTTCCTATTCAGACAAAAGAAGATGCCATTAGAACGATTATACAAAATTTAAATTTTGCAGTTTTAAAATAATACATGTATGTACTATGTAGTATGTCACATACAAAATTGTATTCTTGATTGGAAAATAAACCATTTTGCTCTTATATTTCGTCAGTATTTATTTTATTGCTTCATATAAAAAAAGTTTTTTTTAAACAAAAAAATCTCTAAACAAAATTCTAAGAGTTTTTTGAAAGGTAAGTCTAATCTAAAAAATGTAATATAATAATTAGTATTGAGATAACTAGAAAAAATATAATTCATTTTACTTTGGAATAGTTGAAAAATCATTTTTATACAACACAAAAAAATATAATTCTATTTCTAAGCTCGATAATGATAAATAACCTATTAGACCGCAATATTAGATTAGAATATTCGTGCGTTAATCAAGAGTTAATTCACTAGAAAAAAACTTGAGCAATTTATGGTTATATATGTCATATAAATATATATATTCTTGTTTGCCTGTCCTTTATACATTAGTACACCGTTCGTCCGGCAAATGGTAGGTGGTGATTAAAGGAATAGGCCGATTCTATGTACCACAATTCTTAGCAAGCATTTAACTGTTGGAACGGGATCTGGGTCTGAGACTGGGACCCTTGATTAAGAGAAGGACATCATACCGTAAAAAATATCACAAAAACGCTGTCACGCTGTTATCTTATAAGAGATAAGAGATTAGAGATGAGGGATGGGGTGGGTAAATAACCTATATAAAAATACACATAATCATTCATTGTTAAATATTACCATTAGCACTTTTCTAGGTTACAATACATTATATTGATGTGTATTAATTATAACAAAACAATTCGTTAGCAAAAACAAGTTTGGTTAGCGTTGCATGAAATTGTCGTTCCAATATTCCTATGATGTTTTAATCGCCGGAAAACTGTGTTTTTTTACAATTTTAGGATCTGAAAGTTATAAATTTGTCAGCATTTAGAATTCATATGTATCCATAGCATATTAAACGAAGTAAAAATCCGGCACTTCAGTATTGCTATAATTGCCAGAAAACTGTATAAGATATTGTATATTTAACATATACTCTTTAAATCATAAAAGAACTTCATGAAATCATCACAACATTTTATGGACATCTATTCAGAATGATACTAATTAGTTTTGATACTTGAGTACCATTTTTAGGATTTTATTTAATTTAATTTAATTCTTTATTTAAGTATTTTTTGGCTAAGTAAAATTGAAAACTGATATTAAATTCGCAATCACCGACCCCCACAACATATAATTTGACCACTTTGAAGTCTTTTACACAAAAATCCAGAAAAATGTTTTAGCTTCGATGTGGAGCAGTGATGCTATTGGTTTCACAATGAAGTGGGCTTTTTTTTGTCTGTATACACTCTTACAACTTTTTTATTACTGAACCAATACCTTCGAACAGCAACTCTATAAATCACAAATTTCATCTTTTTGGTACTTAACAAGGGGGAGGGGGATACAAGTTTACTTCCTCGCAGTTAAAATTTGAAAAAACATAAGAGTTTTTAAGTTAGAACTTTTACTGGCTACAATTTCGAGAAAAAGAGTCGGATCGAGTTGAAGTTTATAAGGAATATTTATACCCCACACGTCAGTAGTCTCAAATTAAAATTATACCTATTTCCTATGGGTGGTCCTTATGTTTTAGTAGTTAAAATTAAAATTTAGACTTTTTGTATTTATGTGCGAAATGACTAATAACACAATAATTTTGCAAGATTTATTTTTTCTTCGAGATTCTTAAATACAATTTTTAGAGGATACATAACCTAACGATTGAAGCACCGTCTGTGGATTTTTACAAATAATAACATATTCCGCATAACACATTTTCTTGTGAAAATAATATTAAGTGTAGTACTGCATCCCCGACAAAAACCTCTAACAGTGAAAAAAGGCCAAGTTCCAGATCCCCTCCCAAAAATGTCAGCCTATCAAAGTAGTGATATCTACGTTGTGACCAAGTCTGTTTTTTTTGTTTAGTTCATAACCACACTACACTCCTACTATCATGAGCAACACTGCTCTTTTATTTGTATTGCTTAACACTTCGCCAGTTTCTGAATGAAATATGACCTTTCTGAATGAGGCATAAAACAGACTTGGCCGCAATGTAGATACCACGAGAGGGGGTCTGGAACTTGGCCTTTTTTCACTGTTCGGTTTTTGTTGGGGATATCATTCCTTTTTGCGGGTTTCAGTATCGTGGGCGAGGTCTTTTTTGATAAGAGGCATTGAATGGATATTGTACGTCGTAGATTTTCTCTTGTTTTTACGTGTTATTATATTAACCACGTAGATATGTACATAATTTAAATATATATATATATATATATATAATGTATATATGTACATAAAACTACACTTTGCAGTGAAGCTAGAATTTACACAAGTAGTCACTATGCATAATGATTAATAATTTATTAATTATTAATAAACCACGATAGTTATTAAATTAGTCATAATTAATATAGTGTAATTTAGTTAATAATTAAGTGAAGCTAGAATTTATACGAGTAGCCACTATAAATCTAATTTAGTATTATAAACGTATACACGAAACCTAAACGTTTAGGTGTACAATTTTTTTTTTCATATAGAAAATGTCTTTATTATATTATATTTACATCTATACAAAATATATGCACAACAGTAAATGGGTAAACAGTAAAAAAAGAAAATTAATAATATAGCTTGAATAACATGCAGTAGGGAGGCACTCAAGTAGGGAGCTACCTACTTTGAATTTTGAGTTAGTTTATCTAATATTTATTTTTAATTTTTTTAATTATTTATAGGAGGTCTCTACGCCATTTCCTTTCTAATCTTCTTGGCGGATTATCAGGGATATGATTAGAATAGAGGTAGCGTATATTGGGGTTAGGGTGAGAGATGAATTTATTATGAAGTTTTTGGTAGGCAGTTTTGGCGATATTGTTTACATAACTGATTTGGAGATCAGAATGAAGAGTTTTATTAGAAACATACCAAGGGGAATTTGTGATTGTGCGTAGGCAAATGGATTGAAACGACTGGATTATTTGGATGTTAGATGGAGCGGCACAGCCCCAGATTTGGATACCGTAATACCATAGTGGAAAGAGAAGAGTTTTGTAGATGAGTGTTTTGAGTTTAATATTAAGTACAATTACACTTTTTAATAAGCCACGTGACAAATGTAACAAGAACAAAGAACACTGGCATACACGTGAACACGAATTAACGAAGAAACAAACTACGACCAAATGATGGCTGACTAGAGACATGGGCATCAACAGCACCGCTGTAAGGTCATTAATCCCCCACCAAGCGCACTAATTTTGAGAAAATAGCAATTTTCCGATTTTTCGCTTTACCTATAACTATAAGACCCGAATTTGTGCTAAATTTCACGTTTCTACCTATACGAGAAGTGTCTTATAACTTTGATGGTGGGTGCGTGAGTCAGTAACAAAAGAGCAAATTTTTAAATCCTCCCATTTTAAAACGGCTAAATATTAAGGCCTCAATTATAGACAGTGTCCTAAATCCAAATGGAGTATACCTATTGTATTATACAACAGTGAGAGAGCGAGAGTTTTGGAGAAAAAAATATCCTGGCTGACCAACCACACTGGTATTGGATTGGCCTAAATACGATTGGTATAAGATCAATTCAGGGTACAAAAATAAATCCTACATATTTTGAATCTAAGAGTATGTTGGTTTTCAATTAATTTTCACCACATTATCGTGTGCTAAATTCCAAATGTGTACAATTGTTTATGCGGCTGTGTATTGATTTAGAGAAGTGTTTTTGTGTGGGCAACAGTCATATGCCTCGTGTCACATTACTCATAATAATATGTAATTCACTTCGTATCGAATCCAAGAAAAATAAAACGCTAAACAATGAAAAATAACCGTGTGTTTTACACACGATACTCCAAGGTCTTTTATATACTAACGTATTTCATGGTATGAAAAATTTGGGTACATAGACCATTGTCAAGAATTATTATCACTCAAGTTTTATCACTTATTTCATATCCATGCGAATTAAAGGTAGGAAAATTAAGATGCAAAAACGAAATAATATATTACTGTGTTGCTTATACGCAGTGTCGTTTATTATAATACTAGCTGCCCGGGTTAATAAATACCGGTTAACGGTCAAGTGATACATCGTTATTATTTTTTATAGCAGACCTGGTCAAATGTCAAAAAAAGCCAAAAAAAAAAATTAAAAAAAATCAACACAATGACTCCATATGACATAGAGTTCAACGAATTGTTTCATCGGGTAAAACTATTTATGTTTTATGTGTTTTTATTTATACAGGCTCATTAACTTTTATATTGATTTTACATAAAAAAACCTCAAAAAACGGCCGAATATAACATACACAACATAACGTAATAGTTTAACAGAAAAATATGTTTTTAATTTTTGTAAGATTAGACACTGTTATAGCTGTAAATTATTATAAAATAATAAAAGAAAATGGTTTGTATTTCGGTTTGAATATTTTCCTACTTTATACTAAATTATAAATACTATTTAAATATTCATATTATAAACATACCTATATTGAAATTGGTCGACAAATACTTTTCCAATGTTACGATTCTCGAGTATCTTCATTATTGCTTGTTCTTTTTTAAAATTTCTCTTAATTTTTTTTTCCAACGGAAGTTACAAATTAGAGCAGCCGACGACTGCAACATTCAATATAATTTAAATGTATTTATCAAGATATTTATTTCTGGAGTTTTTTATTTACAATCAGGGTTATTTTGAACTTAACTACAACTTTTATTTTACACATTTTCGAAAACAAAGTCAAAATACAACATCATATAGTTTTAAATCGAAATGAAGTATAAGTGTTTTCCGCAGTGATATATTATAGATAAACTTGGACAAATTAATAGCAAACATTTTCCATTAAGAATTCAGTTTTATTTAAACAAAATTGGTCGAATGGTATAAGTTCACGAGTTGTATTTTTAAGTAATACATTTTTGCTATTGTTGGTCACACAA